TAATGAATATTATTAATATAAAGCCAAACAAAATGGAAACCTTAAATTGCTGTTTTAATTCTGGTTTCACAGTTCTTTGTGTCTTAAAAGCTGTGGACATTCCAACAGAAGGGGGAGGAGCAAAAGAAAATGCCAAGAATTTAGCTGTACTCAAGTCTTGGGAGGTAGTTGTGTGTCTTGGAGTCTTACTGTCTTAAATCCAGAGTTACCAAGCTTTAAATTTCCTTCATTCTTTGCTCAGGGGATGAGGATAGAAGAGGGGTGAGATAGGGTTAAAGGAATTGTTTTAGTGACCTTGCATTCCCTTTCTGTGACCCAACAGCAGGAGTTGCTCATCCAAAATGCTTATAAATCATTGCCTTTCAGCAGTGATGGTCAATGTAGAATTCCGACCCTTCCAAACTAGAATATTTGGTATTTTGATTTTCAGAAATACCATATTAGGAATTTTATATTTATTTAAATATTTGTGAGTAAAAATAAGAATGAGACGTGGCTGCCCCAGGTTAGTGCCTACAGTTTATTTTTTTGCATGTGAAATAATGACAGACATTTGTTTTAGAGATTTACTAGTGGTTTTTATTTTTTGTTTTGCTTTATAAGAACTGAAGTCCCACAAAGATGTATGTGTGTGTGCCTTTATATAGTCATTCTGTAAGTGGATGGAGGTGGAGAAAATATTAAATACTCTGTCAGTGTGGCAGATTAGAAACTCATAAGTGCATCAGCTGAGTGGTTTTTAAATGGACAGAGAAACATTCTTTGTGTGAGCTCTTTCATGTTGTTTGTAACCTCTTTGCTGTGGAATTGACTTGAACATGAGCAGACTTTTGGTATTTTTACACAGGAAACATCTGCTACAAGTGGAATGAGGCAATATTTTGTTTCCAGGGAAAGAGGAGGTACAATGGGGGAAGGGAGAGCAAAGCAGAGCTCCCTGTCTCCTGCATTCACCTGCACACAGGTGTAGCTAGTGTTGATCTGTGTACCTTGATAATCCTGACCACGTGGCGTGGTCACAGGCTGGGAATGCACAGGGAATCTGCTGCCACCTGGCATTTCTAAAGTTTGGGCCTTCCCTCTTTTACCTGGCTTCCTTCTGATGAGCTGTGTTTGGCCAGGCCAAAGCAGATAAATGGTTGTTTTTAAACAGTTACAGGATCGAACAAGCATTAATGTTGGCAGCAATTTAAAAAAAATTAAACTGATGCTCATGCAAACACATACTCTTTCTGGCTGTCCTTTTCGTTGGTGCCTCTCATGGGACATGAACACTAAACCTTGGAAGTGGTAACTCCTTTATGCTGTTAATCTTGGTAGTGGTAAAGCAGTTGGGTTTGTAGTTTAGTAATAACAGCTGCCATTTAGTGCATGCTTCTATGTGGTAGCCTCTGTCTAAACATTATCTCTCTTTTTCAGAACAGCCAGGCAAGGTCATTGTTATTAGTCCTGTTTTACAGATGAACTGCTGAGACTCAAATAATGTAAGTTAGTTTTCTAGCCAGATGCTGAGCGCCGTAGTTAGACCTTAGTCTTTCTTTTCACGGGGCACACTGCCTCTCTTAGCACTTGGCGTGGTCAGGATGACATGCAGGATTTTTTTAGTAGTGAGAACAGTGTGGCTTTTCAGATTCTCGTCTATTCCTTTTGGGAACAACTGTTGGAATGATCGGTTGGTCTACATGGCTTGTCTATGTCTGTTGCTTTTCTCCTTTTTTCTCGCGTCACAGTGTGAGAGTGAGAGAAGGAACAGGTACGTGTGTACTGTGTGTGCCCAGGTGGGTCCGTGTGTCTGAGAGAGAGAAGGAAGGAGGGGGGATGGAAGGTGGTTGAGGCTGTAAAACTTCCTCTCATATTTCAGTGACTGGAGTAGTTAAGGCAGCTTTTTTCAGTAAGAGCCAAGTATAGTTAAAACCTCCTAGGAATCTGATGCTGCCATGTACATTTTGAAAATCCGTGGCTCAGGAGACTATCAATTTTCCTTATTCAAAACTTAATGAATTTCCCAGTCATACAACAGTAATGCATTCTCAACAAGCTCAGGATGGAGATTAACAGTGCCAGAATCTGCGGTGACAAGTTAAATGGACAATTTCAAAAAGTCATATATTATGAACTTTATGAATATATTCCTACTTTCTCTCTTTTTGCACTTCTATCTTTTTTGGATGCCCCACCGCACCCTTCCCTGAGTTTGTCTTCCCAAGAAGTCTTCTACGATTAGATCTTAGAATACTGGCGCAAACACAGAAGAGATCTGCAACCAAAAGAAAATACCTGGAGTAGCATGAGCCTGCGTGGATCGTGACAGGCGGGCTGGAGAACGGAGGGAGAGGAAGCTTGGGGAAAGGGCACAGTGGGACTCAGAGGACCTTCAGAGCTCTGCTTGGAGTAAAGGGGCTGTGGAAATGCTTAGGTGGGATGGTGTAATATTAACAGAGGAGCCAGAAAAGCCTGGCCATATAAGCACTTTTTGCTTCCCATCTTCATCAGAGAGTGGCTGTCAAAACCAGAAAGGGGAGAATAGTCATTATTGAGAGTGCATTAGAGCCCAAACTGTGAATCACGTGGGAAAACCACTCAGCTCCTCCAGGTGCATAAACCTGCATCCCCAATAACAGTAAAATTTTTACCCATGGTCTCAGGGTCACCTCATGATCTTGTGAGAAATTACTAGAAAAATGGAGATGGACAAATGCCCTCATTAAGGAGGAACATTAGTTTCTAGAAGCTAAAGACCTAAAGTAAACTTGATGTCAGTTCCTAGTAAAGCTGTAAGATAAATGACCAATTAGAGATGTCGTATGTGCTTAGGAAAGAATGTGGTGGTCACCAGGAATTAACATGTGTGCCACTAATAAACTTTGCTCAGACTCATTTCCTTTCAGTGCTGCTTTCTTTTATTGTTTGGGGGGAGGAATGCTAGATTATTAGATACACAGAATAATAGCATCTCACTTTTGAAGGTGGACCCTGATGTAGTTCAAATAATACTCACAAATTATCATTCTTGGCAGATCTTGATTTCACCAAAGTATTTGTGATCATCTCTTAGAACCTTATAAGAAGAAAACTAGGCAGATGCTACTGTTATGTAGATTCCTGTATTTTGAAAACTAAGCCAATAGTTTGTAAATTAATGACTGACATGGTGTCCTCATGGGGAAACGCTCAGGTAGGCACTGTCACTGGCTTTATTTTTCACTTGGAAAAACCCAAAACTCAACAACAACAACAACAAAAATGGAAAAAGGATACTCATCTGTCAGATTCGTAGATGAGAGATAGCTGGAAGGAATAGCTGATAGCAAAGTGAAAAGACTAAACATTCAAAATATTTTGTTAGCTTGTAGTTATGCTGCTATTATTGTTAACATAACAAGGCGAAATTTAAGATTTGTGATTATCAAGTTCTGAATTTATTACAGAAGTCAATTCAGCAATATGAAGTGGGGAAATATATTTTAAGGTAGTTAATGGGAATACTGGAGTTTTAGTTAACTGAATATTGTGAATAAGATATCTAAACACAAATAAAAAACAAAAGAAATTAAACAACTGTACAATTAGAAAATTAGAACTAAAAAGATTTTATATGGTATTTTATAATTGTAATATCCATGTGTTCAGTTCTGTCTTTGTGATTCATTCCAACATTGTAAGTATAAAAATAGTTGGTTCCGGGTGGCATTTTAAGGATGTTAGAAAATTGACGTAGTTTCTAGAGCATGTTGATCAGAATGGTGTGTGCAATACCTGGATATCATGTCCTAGAGACGTCAGGGGAGGAACTGGGAATGTTTAATCAATACAAGACTAGGGAAAGACATGGTAGATGCCTTCAAACCTGAAGGGCTTTTTTGAACAGAATAGTAAATTTGTCTCTATTCCTAGGGATGAACAAGAAGCAAAGAACTGAAGAAGGTACAAGAAAACAAATTCAGCTCAGTACTAGGGAAATTAACAAGTGAGACTGATATTGGTGGAATGGAGTCCTTAGAAAGAAATGACCATTACTTTAGTATTGGACCTCACGTTGCATCTACTCATTTGTATTCTTTAAGGCTCATTTTCAATGTTATGGTCCATTTGAAGTCTCTTTCTCTCTGCAAAATGTTTGCTTTCTCATTTGTCCTGGAACCCTTAGCACCATACGCAATAACTGTATACAGTGATGCTTAATAAATGTTGGATGAAGGAATGGAGCCGAGCAGTGGACTGTCTTGGGTTCTCAGATAACAAGGCATCCAACAGCTAAACTAAGAATAATCCATTGTATTCCATTCATTATGCTATTTGTTCATTGCTGCCCTGAGGAGCTAACTTTAGGAGAAAATTTGTTCTAAGCTATGTGAGAGCAAAAGGTTTTGTAGCTGATTATACCTAGAAAAACATTTTTTTTGTAATTTGAATTTTTTTTTTCAATGAGACCGCGTCTTACTGTCACCCTGGCTAGAATGCAATGGCATCATCATAGCTCACTGCAACCTCAAACTCCTAGATTCAAGCCATCCTCCTGCCTCATCCTCCCGAGTAGCTGGGACTACAGGCGTGTGCACCTGGCTAATTTTTTTATTTTTAGTAGAGACAGGGTCTCACTCTTGCTCAGGCTGGTCTTGAACTTCTGACCTTAAGCAATCCTCCCGCCTTGGCCTCCCAGAGTGCTAGGATTATGGGCATGAGCCACCATTCCAGGCCTGTAATTTGAATTTTTAATCATAGATATTGCCTGCTTTTAGGCAAAATAGCTTGGTTCGCTGGAGAGGGTTTTGAAATTTTTAGAATCATTACTAAGCTGTCATCTCCTGAGGATTTTAGTCAAGAGTGAAGAAAATAATTATTTTCAAAGTTGGAAGTTTTAGAAAAAGAAGTAAAATAAATGAAAATGATACTATCAAAGTTTTGACAAGTTGCCTTTTTTCCAGTAGCTGTAGATCTTGAGATGTAGTAGGTTGAATGTCACTGAATAATATCCCCCTCTGCTATTGTGTTCATTTTAGGCTGATTCAAAAGTCATTGAGAAATGGATGGATGGGGCGAAAGACTTCTTAATGAAAGAGCAGGCTGCCCAGGGAGACGCCGCAGGTCTGCAGAGGCAGCTAGACCAGTGCTCTGTGAGTTCTGCTGTAATAAATAACATATTCTTTTTTTTTTGTTATTTGCTGCTATTATTAAAATTGTAAGAATATGACATGGACTTAAACCTAGATAAAATATCCTTCATCCTTTTATGACTTTATAGCTAATAAAAGAATGACAGATTATTCATATTTTTATTTTTGGCTATGGTTATAGAATTTTGCTTGGAGAGAACAATAGCAATTTTAGTTCATTAGAAGCCAATTGTATATTGCTTTTCTTGTGCCACATGGTGAGGATTTAAGAAATACATATTTAACAAATGAAATTTGCTAGTAATACTGCATGCGATTTATATTTGGTGAAATCATGTGGCTTCTCTAAATTAATTAAAAGACTATTCCCTACTGAGAGTCAAGTATTTCTAATCTAATTTGGCAGATGGCAATATGAAGCACCCAGGTGAACTGAATTTCTTAAGGCACAATATATCTGAAGTAGTTAAAAGTCCTGACTCTTGAGCCATCTGCTTTTACAATATTTGTAGGAATGTAAGCAGACAAACTATAATTATGGCATACACCTATGTAGGAATGAACTCAACATGGGCATATTTTGTGTGTTCAGGCATTTGTTAATGAAATAGAAACAGTTGAATTATCTCTGAAAAACATGAAAGAAATAGAAACTAACCTTCGAAGCTGTCCAATTGCTGGAATCAAAACTTGGGTGCAGACAAGACTAGTTGACTATCAAACCCAACTGGAGAAATTTAGCAAGGAGGTGAGTTTTTCAAATTTGCTCTCTGTGGTTTTCAAGAAGTGAAGACAGTGGCATCTCTTGACTGACTAAAGGGATTTTATAACCCATGCAATTTGAAAAACAGTGGTCTAATAACTGCAACCTGAGTGGCAAAGTGGGCCAAGAAAGGCATCATTTTTTTTTAAAATTAAGGGTTGGGACTAATTGTCCAATTTGGCCTGGGACTTACTTTTTCTTCTTGTCTTAAATCCAGCTTAACACATGCATTTATGTTCGTTGCTTTGCCTCTAAAACATTTGAGTATGTTTCGCAGTAGTTAAAGCAATTAATCATTATTTATTCAGCAAATATTTATTAATCAGCTGCCATATGTCAGGCATCATTCTAGGCATTGGATCCCCAGCATTGAACAAGGAACAATAAACTCCCCTTCGGGAGCTTGCGTTGTAGGGAGGCAGATGGAAAATGAATAATAATATTATGTAGGAGTAGCAAGGAGTTAGGGTTAGGTGGGTTATTTCAAAGAGGGTGGTCAGGGAAGGGCTTTTTGAGGCTGGGACATTTGAACAGAGAACTGAGTAAAGTAAGGGAAGCCATGTGAGGTTCAGGTAAGAACATCCACGCATGATGAAGAGCGAGTGTTAAATCTCAGAGGTCAGAATGAGCTTGCTGTGTTCAATAAAGAATGAGGGCAGTATAGCTGGAATAGAACAGAGAGGAGTTAGTGGGTTGCAGAATGGGAATATTTGAGGTCAGAAGGTAGACAGAGGATGGATTAGATATGGACTTGGAGGTGAGGTTTTGGATTTTATTCCAGGTGTGATATTACACAGAAAGCAATTCGAGGGTTTTGAGCAGGAGAGTGACATGTGATAGAGATCTTTTCAGATCACTCTGGCTTTCATGTGGATAATTTGCTCTGGGAAGGCAAGAATGAAAACCAGAAGAATATTTAGGAGGTTATTGAAGTCTTAGAGAGAGAGGATGGCCCCTGGCACTCGGGAGGTAGTGATAGAGGTCATGAGAAATGCTGGCTTTGGGCCATATTTTGCAAATAGAGAGGGGACACAAGTGAAGAATTGGATGTGTGATAGAAGAAAAGTGAATGGTCAAGGACAGCTCGGGATTTTTGCAAATGTTCCACTTTGTGTGAATTGTGGTGCTATTTACTGGAATAACGAAGACTCTAGGAGGAGAAGCTTTCGTGGGTGCAGGTGAAATGGTGATTTCCATTCTGGAGGTGTTACATGAGAGATGCTAGATGCTAAGAAGGAAAGATCAGTAAGATGAGAGACACTTGGGGGAAGGTGGGCTCCCAGAGGCCAGGTGGAGAAAGCTTTTCGCCGCGCCCAGTGCTGAGGACTGCTGAGGCCAATCAGAACTGAAAATGAAGCTTAACATTTGCTAAGATGACAAGATGGAGCCTATCCTTGAGGTTGAGAACAGTGGGTTCCGTGGAGTGGCGGGGAAGAAAGTCATAATGGAGAATGTGGAGGAGATATGGGAAGTGAGGAACTGGGACGAGTAGGACCAACTTTGGGAAATTTCTCTACTCAGGGGAGCAGAGAAACGGGTGGGTGCCGGAGATGGGGATCCCAAAAGGTGTTTTTGTTATTTGTAATAATGAGAGAGATTACGGGATGTTTGCATGCCAAAGAGGAGGACCTCACTTAGAAAAAGAAAGTAGGCCAGGCACGGTGGCTCACGCCTGTACTCCTAGAACTCTGGGAGGCTGAGGCGGGCGGATTGTTTGAGCTAAGGAGTTTGAGACCAGCCTCAACAAGAGCGAAACCCCGTCTCTACTAAAAAAAATAGAAAGAAATGATCTGGACAACTAAAAATATATAGAAAAAATTAGCTGGGCATGGTGGCGCATGCCTGTAGTCCCAGCTACTTGGGAGTCTGAGGCAGGAGGATTGCTTGAGCCCAGGAGTTTGAGGTTGCTGTGAGCTAGGCTGATGCCACGGCACTCACTCTAGCCAGGGCAACAGAGTGAGACTCTGTCTCAAAAAAAAGAAAAGAAAAGGAAAGTAGTGGTGCAGGAGAGATTGAGATAAGAGAATTTGTCAGGTGAAGTCCATGATCAAGCGGCAGGGGATGAAGTGAACCGTATGGGGACAGCAGGACTGGGAGGTGGTTCTCTTCTGATTGCTTTCATTTTGTTAATGAAATAACAGTGATGTTCTGTATAGTTGAAGTGACTGACAAAGGGATGAAAAGTAGAGGAGAAAATGTGGATGTGGATGGTACAGGTCTCTTAATACAGTGGATGGTACAGGTCTCTTAATACAGTGCTTTTGGCTGATGTTTATTTAGGAAAAATTTATATTTCCATAACTGAATATTTTGTTTTTGTTGTTTTACCCCGACATCCTTATTTTGAACATGTTCTAATGTAAAGAAAAGTTGAAATAATGGTACAAGGAATACCCATATACCTTTTCAGAGATTTGCTAATGTTTTACCATATTTGCTTTCTCTCCCTCTACCCTTCTTTTTACATAGGTGTGCATGCTTGCACACACATGCACACACACACTTACACACACATGCACTCACATACTCTTTTTGGGGAGGGATGCTAGAAATGTACTTTTGACAGGAATTGAAAACATGATGACACTTCACCCCTAAATACTCCAGCATGCTTCTCTCATGAATAAGGACATTCTTCTACAAAACCACAATACCATTATCACACTTAAGAAACTAATAATTTTATACTATCATCTAATATCCGAGCCAAATTCAAATTTTTCTGGATGTGCTATAATCTGATGGCGTATGCCTGAAGGAACTTGGATTTTTGAGGAAGTAAAGAGGGAAAATGGTTTGGAAGTGGCTTGGAGGAGCTAGGATGGCGATAAATAGAAGTCTGTCTTTGTGTCCGTCTGTCTGTCTATGTCTGTCTGTGCATCCATCCATGCACATACAAATGACAACAACGAATTTGCTGTGAATTATTATTGATTCAACCTATGGGAATAAGTATATAGGACATTTTTAAGTGTCCTCAACAAGGAGGTAAGCACATATTGTGTGAATAATTATCTAGAGAAGTTCCAGACTCGTGTACTTCATTGACTAGTAAAAATGTCGAAGTGGTTTTGGACAAGCATAGTGTCACCAAATTTTTATTTTGCTAAGAAAGAACAGGCATATAAAACAAATCAGGAAAATTAATTATAATTTTGAGGGTTTTTAAAAAAATTTATAAGTGTCTTTATTTTTCTTATTTTTCTGTGGATTCATGAAAATTACATAACTGACTAGTGTCGCTGGCATTGGCTGCTTGGGTACGTGTGGGACAGTGGAAGAAAAGCTCCTGTCTCGTCCCTGTCTATTTTTGTGACTGGGGTCCTGTTTGGAGGGAGGGACCAGGAAGGCCGCTAACTCTTGCTTCACCCTCGAGCTTGTGAGAACCATCCTTTTCCTGTGCTGGCCTTTGGTTACTGTCAGCTTAGCAGCCCAGCGAGCCCTGGTAAGGTGGCCTCTGCTGTGACATTTAATTCGAGCGGGAGGCTGAATATGTCAAGGGGAGGTCGGACTGTGACTGCAGAATGGTGTCTTCTCTCATAGTAAAAGTCGGCTTGTGGTTATGGTGAGAAGCGCTCCGAAAATACTTCTAGACTTCTCTGAAGTTTTTAACTAACTTACTGAATCAGAATCTGATAAATAGCTATTTTCTAATGTGACTGTTTTTGTGTGTCTACCTGGAATATACAAATATAGTAGATTATTAAAACCAAAATTTTGTAGAGCAGATGTTTTACATGACCATCTTTAATAGCAACCTCTCTCTGTTTGCTTTTTAGAAGTGAAATCTTAATGGGGAATTCTGTTTAAAAGGAGAAAATGGACATTTTGGTTGCTTTCATGTTTTTTTTTTTGTTCTCTTTTTCATAATAAACAGTGGTACAGTAAATTTACTTAACATATATGCTTTTATTGCTTTAGTCTAGATTCCTACATTCGGGATTACTGTCAACAGTTATGCATTTTCAAAATTATAATAGATACTTCCAGATTAGATTGATATCCAAAATGTCGTCTAGAATCCCAGTTATAATATTGTTCTTATTACTGCTTGTAAACCACAGTATCAGCACAAAATGTGTAAAAGGTTTTATCTGACTTTGTGGAAAGTTATCACTGTCTTTAAATATTAAAGTCTAGAACTTGACATTGAACATGTTGACATTTGTTTGTTTGGGGGAATGGCTTTTCCTTTCTAGATTGCTATTCAAAGAAGTAGGTTGTCTGAAAGTCAGGAAAAAGCCGTGAACCTGAAGAAAGACTTGGCGGAGATGCAGGAATGGATGACACAGGCTGAGGAGGAGTACTTGGAGAGGGATTTTGAGTACAAGTCTCCAGAAGAGCTTGAGAGTGCTGTGGAGGAAATGAAGGTGAGGCTGGGGCAGCCGGTGCCGCCAGGCTTCATGCCCCCCTCCCTCTCTCTCAAACCTGTCATCTGTCTGGCCGTAAAGCACCATATGTACACAGCAGCTTTCACAGCAGGATTTCACATTTAACAAAAAGGTGGCTGCTATGATTTTAGTGGGGAAAGGAAATTAAGAGTCCACTTGTTCTGCTTGGCCCGTGAGTCGAGTCCATGAAGGCCCTTGAGACAAT